AGACATGTAGGTAGTCTGACAGGTGTCCGATGAGTTATATATTGCCCTATCCTTATTATTATTATTATTGTTGATTGATTGATTGATTGTTCATTGTTATTGGATTGTGTCGGGTTTTTGGTGTGGAAATATACTTACGTTCTAGTCAGGCTAATCATGTGTTTTTGATCATCGGAGTTATGTTGAAGTCCTGTAGAATAGACACTGGGAAGGAATCTAATGTAGATATTCATCTAAGGTAAATTAGCGTCCCATTCGTACAAACAAGGATAACCAACCGCCATAACATTAGACGAAGTAAAACCGAGCGTTATAACATTACTAATCAGTTTTAACTATTCATTTAAGTGTTATATATGTCATTGTTTCTTTTTTGTTTCTTAAGTCGTCTCTAATTAAACTTCATTGGTTACCATATATAAAACTTTGTTTACAATAATGTAACTGATGTAGATTTAGGTCGTTCTCAGCTGATGAATAACCTCAATACATAATGAATTCATGTCACTAGTTTAGTGGTGTTCTTATCGTTTCATTAAAATTTATCAAGGGATCACGATATATGAATGTCACATTTAGATTCTTTAAAAAAATATATGAATATCGCATAGATGCTAAATAAAATGATAAAGGTCACCATGTGATTATGAACATAAGTTATCATACAATGATAACGTGAATATGTAACTATGTCACCATGAAACAAAACATGACAAATCGTCTATGGTTTATGGATAGCGGGATAATACAGAGATCAGTAGGGCAAAGTTTTATTACGACGAAAATTGATATCTGGTACTGAAATAACAATATCAGGATAAAGAATAACAATCAGTATTACTTGTATCATAACAATAGTCAACCAGTTATAATACAGAATGTGATGGTCATTTTTTAGTGTATGTTACTCATTTAGACAGATTTAAGTAATATGTAATACCAATCAGAAGTTGAATGTCTAGCAGGCAGAAAGTTGAGAAGATTGAATTGAAGAGAACGGGAATGTAAACAAATAAGAATTTTGAATTGGAAGCATTATACAGGATGTGATAGACAATTATTATTATTATTATTATTATTATTATTATTATTATTATTATTATTATTATTATTATTATTATTATTATTATTAATGGCTCTATTCAATATTATAGTTTTGGTACAATATAGAATTCTCAGCACAGGTTATTTCAACAAGTTACTTACGCAACAAAAAAAACAGTAACGAATACAAAAAAAAGAGAAAGGTTTTTTTCAAAAAAAGAAAAAAGAAAAAAAAGACAAAAATCCCGAAAAACTGTACAACTTTTAGAATTAAGGATATGTTAAGAATGCAAGTTATTGACTAGGTTGACTCTAACAACCTGTTCGTCACAGAGTATATTTGCTAGGTGAGGTATTAGAGAACTTTTATACTTTTGCTTGCGTGCATGGATTTTAATGTAATTACGTCTCGTTATACCAGAATATATACAAGGAGAAAGATAAGAGTGAAGGGGATGGCTAGTATCTGATAAAATAACACCTGCCAGGAGTTTGCATGATTTGAAATGTCTATCCACAACCATATTAATTATGATCTCGAAAGATTCACCACACATCTTGATAAATGCCTTCAGTACTCTCCGCAATACAGCAAAGTCTTTCCTCAAAAGCCCGGGAAAGAATAATGGAGAATAGTAAAGAATAATAGGTAATATGCAAGAATTGGCAAATTGTAAGAGTAAATGACGAGTAATCCCAAGAGCATGCAATCTCTTTATGTAGTAGGTCAGACGGAAAACCTTCTTTGATAACAATAAAACGTGGGAAGACCAAGACAGATCAGAGGAAAAGGTGACACCAAGATAATTGACCTTCGACACTGTGTATATCAAAGAGTCTCCGATGGTACAAGCATTATGGGATCTCAAAATGGTGTTTAGATTCCGTTTATGTCTCATACTAAAGTTAACAGCTTGACATTTAGACGGATTAAGTATGAAACCATTACCAACAGACCAACAATCAATACGAGACAAAAACTCATTCATTTCTATGGGATGTAAAGAGGAAGAGATAGGCATACATACAGTGAGATCATCCGCATATTTCATAAAAGTGTTTTCTGTGGAAGATGGCAGGTCATACGGAAAAGAAGAGAATAGAAGAGGTGAAAGAACAGCTCCTTGTGATACACCTTCATGAGACAGTAGAGACTCTGAACACTTTCCTCCAAACACAGTGTACTGTTCCCTTCCAGAGAGATAGAAACATAGCCAGTTGGTTATCCAGCTGTCAGTGTTGACGCTGATTAACTTGTTAATTAAACGTTGTCTTGGTATAGAGTCAAAAGCTGAAGTACAGTTCAGAAAAGCACATCGAACATACTTCTGACCCTTTTTTAAGTTGAACACTATGTTGTGATGCAGAACAGCAACAGCATCTAAAGTGCTTCTTTTGCGTCTGTAAGCAAACTGATATGGGTCAATATGCTCTTTTATCGCAGGCTGAAGTGGAAGTATTATTAATTTTTCCATTGTTTTGAGGAAGGGTGAAGTTATTGCAATAGGTCTAAATTTTACATTCTTATCACTAGATATTTTCTTGGGTACAGGAATTATCTTCATCTTTCTCCACATTTTTGGTATGAGATTAGATGAGAAGGATCCGTTAAAGATAGCTGTGAACGGATAACATAGGACGTCAGCACACTTTTAAAAAAGGATGATGGCTTTTAATGTATAGTTCTTATATTTTACCAAGATATTTTATAACTATTAAGTTAATTGTTCCTCACTTAACTTGTTCAATACAATTCTAGGTTATTCATCTTTTAACCCTAATATCAAAATCAGGCGCGTATAAAATGCAAGTCATAGTTTTCCACTATGAAACGTTCTTTGGATTGTTCTGAGTAATCTCTGAATTAATATTTCACTGTTCGCATTCATTCTGAATTGTAGGCGCATGAACAAGGATTTCATGTTCACTTTTTGTGTTTCGTCTATTTTAATCTTCTTGATTATATATTAACTTATAAACTTTCTGCGGTATCCGTTTTCTTAATTATTCTAGACACAATAAAATCTGAAGGGGTTTTGTGGAGATTTTAGTAATTTCAACAGTTGAAATCATGAGTCAAATGAAGTTAGACTACCATGGAAAACCTGGAAGCAATAGACGGCCGTTTCGTCCTAGTATGGAACTCCTCAGTAATATCACCTTATAATTCTCGGACTAACTGTGATTCATTTCTGACATGATGAACATAAACTTAATTGATTATTGTGCAACTGAAATAAGAAAATAATTTCTTCATCATCGTCTAGATCATATGAGAAATTATAATGGAGTGATTTCATAATATAGTAAATGAATTATGTCTGTTGTTTATTGGTGAATTTGTATTCATATAGTGAGTTAATGACTAACTAATGTCAAGTGCTGTACAGTCTACCTTATACAAATCGAATGAATAAATAATGTAACCGAATTATATCAAACTTAGGAAATTCAGATATCATTTGAAATCATTATTATTATAAAACAAATTGACACCATATGAAAGTCGGGTTTTAAAGGTCGATGAAATCTAATTTAGACATCGCCCTCAAATGCCCCGGTACGGACGAGTGTAGGAAGAGTTAGCTCTCTTTCTCGAAATGCCCTCACATGGCCACGCATATACAGCCACTGCCAAAGAAGTACTACTCACCGCCTTCTTGGCACACGGGTGTTGGTTACGAAATTGCAAAGTCGGAAAACGAATGTCCGGCACTTTAACCAGGTTGGTGGATACGGAGGGTCGATCTAGTGGAGTCAAAAAACCCTGATTCCAAACCAATAGTTCACATGCTCCAGGATCCTGATGAGACGAATGGCGTATGAACATATTGCTGATCACCGGCTACCATTGAACTGAATCTCCTCACGGTGCTCCACCGACTTGTGGATTAGAATTTTAGGTCGAAGGTTAGAGGACTGAACCCCTAAGAAAACCACATACTTCGGTCTGGGCACTCAGCAGTATCACAGCCCACACCTAAATCATGAGACTTGTGTGGCGTATATGTATTCGGTGCCACATTTTAACAATATTTTGTGCTCAAATAAATGAGTAGTTTCATACAATACTACTCTTTTGTTAAAATCACAAGCGTAACAAGTAGCTGATATGTATGAAGTTACAAACTCTCTGTTTACTAATATTACAAAGCCTAGAACTTTTAAAAAACAACCTAAATTATACTTAACACTAAATATCATTTGTAATGGAACTATACACATCTCATAAAAATCACACTTATTTTGACGTGTGATTTAACAACTAAACTTTTATGAAAATGATATACGATAAAGAGTGTGTGTGTGTGGCTATCAGTGAAATCCCAACTGCTCATTTCTTTCTAACTGGTACCCGTCATCTAGTTATACCTGCATCTCAGAATTGATTTTCACTCTGAGATTCAAAACTGGTGCCATTCGTTCCACTTAGCTACTACTGAGCTTAGATATCCACTCGTTTGTGCAACATGATATTTCAAATGATTACAAATTACACATTGAAGTTGGTTAATGTTACAGAGTGACATCAACATGAATAACCAGGAAGTGTTGATTAGTTGTTTAGTTCTAACCTAAGACGGAAATCAGTCTCACTTTCCATACGTTTAGATCAGATGAGATTTCAGATTATAATTTAATATCTAATTTAATAAATATTCATCTATATGTCATATGTTCAAAGCATATTAATGGTCTATTCATGCAACTATTGATCCACAAAGCTGTGATATTATTATAAGACTTAATTGGTCGAACTGTAGTTTGGTTTCTAGTGTTATACGCATAGTGTTGGACAAGTTAATCCGATTTAACCAATCTGAATCATACTACTGATGACTAGTAAGACACATATCTGTAGGATTAAACTAAGGCGTTCTTTAAAAAATGGTGATTAGCTTATTATATATATAAATCAGTCATTAATGTTAACTAGTTCTTTAGTAGTTTAAGATATGGGTATACTATTTACTCCAGTAAATGATGATCCATATGCTAATATTCCAAGTCATATGGCATTTACCAGTACGTATCTTTCGACAGTTACTGCAGACTTTGGTAAGTTTTATTAATTATTTACGATTGAATTCGTATATACCGCTCGTTGGTTGATTAATTTATAACTTGATTAATAATGTTATTGATAAGAGTTTAATCAAAGCATTATATTAATAACAATTTCCTGGAGTTTTAGTGAGAAACAGTGATCAGTGGAGTTCAACTGGGTCTGTTGTGAGATATCTGCTCATTGAAGACAATTGTGGGTGTGTCGTTCGATTTCGTGGATTAGTTGATGTTAGATATTAACACTGTTGGATCCTGGCATGCCCTGTGTTCTAGAATTTAAGTGCTCGCGATCGAGACTGATAGGTAGTGGGTTAGAATCTTGCTAATATCATATAAAATCATTCACAAAATGTAGAAAAATACACAGTACACAGGAGAGGATTCTTTTCGATGCGACCCATTATTGCAGTTGAATTGTATTTATTTGTGTGTAAAAAACTCCTTGTTAATACAGAAAAACTAAATGGCATTCTTTCGTTATATTCTTGACTTTCCGATAATTTTTATTAAGGATGACAGATCAAAACAGTCATAAGGTAATTATTAAAGTTCTTTCCTAGAGTTAACTTGCGAAGATGTTTACTCTGCACGCGTTCAATGAAATGGTATGACCAACAAACCTACATCAAAGTTATACCATACGACGATTTCCTAAACTGAATCACCTCTATTCAGTGGCCAAACCATTTTTTCTGCTTCTTTCGTAACAGTGAGGAAGAAACAGAAGCTTGCTTGAATAATACTGTACATCAAGCAGATCAGAATGACGAGGTATGTAGTATCGATATTGTTCTACCTGAGATGTGAAATTCGGTGATATAGTTGAAAATACGATGGGTGGTATATGTTCTGTCAATATTAATAAATTCAACGTACGAAGACCTTACTGTTGAAGTCATTAAATTTCATATTACCCAACCTATAGTATAATGTCTAATTTAACCTTGACATTTCTACCTAGAATGTGGTTCTATTGTTTACTGTTTATTAATTAATTAATTAATTTATTAATTAATTAATTAATTTATTAATTTATTTATTTATTTAACTTTTATTTATCCAAATGATATAGGCGAGGACAACTTCCTGACATGCCCAATTGGTATACTTTTCACACTCGGTATCCTGTTAGGTTCTGGTGGTGCTCAAGGTAGAACAGGTTATCAAATTGGAAAAACAATGAGATTGAAATCGACATCTTCTTCATGGAATTCTTCGGAAGCTCAACAAGAAATGAAATCATTATATCAAGAGCTTAATAACTCGCTCACTTCAGAAAAAACATTCTTAAATGAGAAAGAAGAAAATGTTGTTAGAATATCAACAGGTATATTTGTACAAAATACTTACAAAGTTGAAACACGTTTTAACGAAAGTATTGCAAATGATTTTGAAGGAGAATTGAAACAGGCAAGTCATTATACTTTGTGTAAATTTTAATGTAATGAAGAATCAGTTGTTTTCGCAAACATCAATCGATAAGTAATCGACCGTTTCATTCATAGAATGTTCTTAAAATAGTTTGCTATTCGTGATGTGATACTTCGGAAAAGTCCATTTTATTTAAATAGAGCAAGAACAAACATTGATGCAGAATAGTATGAATTCATATTATTTCGAGGTTTCTCGTCAGCTGCTTACAAACCAAAATTGTGATAGGATTTTTACATGGAGATAGTGTGAAACAATTGACATAAATGATGGATGGTTTACTTAGTTTGAAAGTGTAGAGTGGATATATTACCAGAAAAACCAGTAGAAATAAAGGATGAGTTGACTGACTGTTTTTTCTCATCTGAATGATTAATAACCATACATTCACATTGAGTTACTTTAAGTTGGATTAAGAACAGTTCCAGTAATAGATCATAACGTATGAATGGAACGAAGCTTTTATCAGGTCAGTTATGACTTAAAAAGATTTCCCCTCTAAATCGTTTATGGATTCACGTGGAGAAAAATAATGCTGTTGAATTTCAGCTGAGCAGCTGAATAATATTATAATCATTGTGGCATATTCATGCAATACGTTCGAATAAATTTGAGATCACTTATGCGCACTGTTTCAAACTGAGATTTAATGTCTCCCGTGTGCTCTCTGACGTTTACTAACTTTCAAATTCACATTGTGAGCTTTTCTCACAATATACTAAACAGGGTTATATATAGTAATGTTTGGATTAAAAGAATAACTGTCTAGATAGTTTAGATAGGTGCTGTTAAGTAGTTGAAACAAAAACAAACAAACAATGTAATTGGGTAAATGAGGGTTCTACATTTTATTGTGAATATAAATGTACATTATTACCTAAACAAATGTTGCCACCCAGTTATTCAACCAATAATTGTCCAATCAGTAATCAAATCAAGTGAAAGCAATAAATGGTATTCTATCCTTTGTGGATAGATCACGTACAGATTCTTTCGAAAGATAATATTTGATTGCGCTATAACACCGATTGTTTCCAATTGTGGAAGAGTGCTTAAATTCACAATCAAAAATGCAGTTCAGGAGGAAACATGGGGACTCAGTGAAGAAGTAAAGAAAACGAAATCTGTAATAAAATACAAATATTACCTATTTGAAATGAAATTAAACAGACCAACAGAATGTACACCTGAAGGGATCAAGAGGAGTGAATTACACACGAAGCCATCATTATGGATCTCACAATCCATAGTAGACCTCAGTTCAATTATCGAACATGTAAATTATAATTCTATTTCAAAACAAAATTTCATACTACCACATGTCACGTTATGGATTGCTTGGTTGGTAAATCATGAATCGGAATCCTAGTGGTTGGAATGTCGCACAACTTTACCTCTGAGTGTAATCTAGTCACAGATCTATCAATGTAATGAATTAATTTTGTTTTAAAGTTTACTACTATTGTAATGCCTCACTTATCTTTGAAGCATATGCTGCTGATGTTATTCACAACGACGAACTATATACAACTAAATAATCCAACTTAAAGATCACGACATCTGCAAAGCTTACTGTCGGTAATCATAATCGGAATGAAGTCATTAATTCTGTTAGTATTTGTTGATCAGAATTAATTAACGCTTACAAATTCTTAATGTTCATTACTCTAGGTGGATTTTTCTAATGGAACTAGTGCTACAGTTGATATCAATGATTGGGTTGATCAACAGTCTAATGGTTTATTGGAGAAATTCTTTACAGATGATATTCCAGATGATACTGCGATGATACTGGTAAATGTTTTCTACTTTAGAGGTAAGCTATAATCCGGCTGTTTAAAGTTTGGGTTTTAATAGAAGAACAGACTTGAAGACTATTTGTTGCTTAAAATATGATAACTTTAATAATCAGAATCACAATAATAGCCTGAATTGTTCATGTTAAGTATTTTGTATTTTGTTTATAGGGCGATTAAAGTGAGCATGTAGGACGTTCGTGATTTAAGATTTGTGATGTTTGAGACTTGTGAAATAGGCGGAACTGTAAAAGTTGAGTGAAAGTTTATGCTAGTATGACTTGAAGTTGGGTCATGGAGGAATAAGCCATGTTGATGGATGTAAACAAGCAGTAATCGTACGTCTGGACCACCATGGTTACTACTACATATTTTGAAACTTTGAGAGATACCATATATTGATCAACGAGTTTGTGAAATTCTCCAAACTCTTGTCCAACCAGATTATTCTGAATCATTTTATAATTTGTGGGGGTGGAAGCACGGTATATAGTAGACATCTACGATACAGCTGGACGATCTAGATTTCGCTGATGATCTGGCTCTTCTATCGCACACACCACAACAACTGCATGAGAACACGACCAGTGTGGCAGCCGCCAAATCTGATGTAAGTCTCAGCATATATAAAGGAACAAGCAAGATTGTCTGATATAACGCAACAGGCACCAAATGAATCACGCTATTTTTTATTTATTTATTTATTTATGCCTGTTACCCCCAGTGCAGCATCGACCACTGACCAGCATTCTCCAACCCACTCTATTCTATTCCATCCTTTCTAGTTTTATCCAATTGTTATTCATTCTTTTCATATCTGTCTCCATTTCTCGGTGCAATGTGTTCCATTGTCGTCGCCTCCTCTTGCTTTGACCTTGAGGATTCCAAGTGAGAAATTTCCTTGTGACGCAGTTGGGTGCCTTCACGAATGTATTTCCTATCCACTTCCAGCACTTCCTGATTCCTCACTAACTAGAGGGAGAAGTCCAAACTTGGAATGGGAAGTATATTCTGTAAACAGCCGGAAACGAGCTTCTCACAGATCACAAGCCTTTGCTCTCGATATTCGTGTGGAAATCTGACATTTCAGCTCATTCTGCAAATCGTCTTCAGAGATGGGCCTTAGCACTCTTGGGGCATGATTTCGAGACCCAGTATCGACGCACTCAACAACTCGGTCAGGCAGACGCCATGTCACGACTTATCAGCGAACACCGTACGGCCGACGAAGATGTAGTTATTGCCTCTCTAATAACAGAGGACCACGCGCAATGTTACCTGACATCTGCTGTTCGTGCTTTGCCAGTCTCAGCAGCTAAAATACAATCTACCTCCAGGAACGACCCCATCATTAAGAGAGCGATGAGATACGTCAGCAATGGCTGGCCGTCAACTGGACTCGATGGTGACTTGAAGCAGCTTTACCACCGTTGAGACTGATTATGCGTCGTGAATGAGTGCTTGATGTTTGGAGATAGAGTAGTGGTGCCAGAGTCCCTAAGATCAAGGGTGCTAAAGCAGTTCCACACTGGTCATCCTGATATAAAACGAATGAAACCCATCGCCAGAAACTATGCTTATTGACCCCCTCATGGACCAACACGTCATGGATTTAGTAGGCAAACGCACGCAATGTCAGCAAAAGGCGAAATGTAATGCGAAAGCGACGCCGGTCTCATGGCCACGACCTGAGTATCCCTGGTCCAAGATACGTGTCAATTTCATTGGTCCAATCAGTGGGACTACCCATCATGTCGTGATTGACGCCTTTTCAAAATGGCCAGAAATTGTCCCCATTATGCCACTGACAACTACCAAAACGGTACAACTCTTGACGATGATGTTCGCTCGCAACGGGTTACTGGATGCAATTGTATCATATATCGGTTCTCAGTTCACCTCAACGCAGTTACAAGATTTCTGCCAACCGTTATCCATCAAGCATCTCCGCTGTCCATTCTACCAGCCGCAATTAAATGGCCAAGCAGAAAGATTTGTGAATACATTTAAGAGAGCTCTGATCAAGTTGAAGCAGGAGGGGACGCCACTGGAAACACTGCCAAACTTCTTCGTTTACAGAGTGACACCTAGTGGTGTTTTACGCGAGCAGAAGTCCCCAGCAGAAACCCTCATAGGAATAAAATTGAGGACGGTCCACGATCCGATGCTTCCAAAAACCACACAATCACCGCCACGGACCAAGTCTGATGCAGATATGGTCGATTTGGTTTGGCGTGGTGTGATCCGGTGAAGTCCATGTGATTTTGTGAACGCGCTTATGTGGGAATATAGTGCAGCCTATGACCAGTTTATTGAAGGCACATAGGTTTGTGAACCTCTCACCATTTTCGTTCCTTTCTCCCAGTCCGTGTCGTCCCATGATTTCTTCATATCCGAAGTTGTCCATTCCAACCTTCGCATTCAGATTTCACATCAGAATGGTCAAATCCTTTGCTGGGCACTTCTCGACGATCGACTGCAGAATATTGTAGAATTGATCTTTAAGATCTTCATTGCAGTCACTGGAAGGCCCTAAGGATTGGATGACGTTCATTGTCATGCTCACTTTCTTAGTTTTGAAGGAGGCTTTAATGATCCTGGATTCATGATATTCCCATCCTATAACTGCATTTTGTGTCGGGGTATAACAGAGGCTCCCCTGAAGCTAGTCGTTGTGTTCCAATGTGTTCCACTGATTCCAAACACTTCCAGGTTGTATCTTTTAATTTCTGCATCACTTTGGAAGACTCTCCCGGTCTTCCATATTGTACGAGCATTCCATGTACTTCAATTAATGGTTGCTCTGGTTGTCAGAAGGGGGATAATCCTCGTGATTTTAGAAGGAACTCGGCTTTCAACACAAGACATCATAATTAATATAAATGAAGATACCAGTGTTAACTAACAGCTATCTATGCAAAATACCCCTGATCCGTTGGCCAGACCCTATCAGTAACAACCTACTGTGGCAGAGAACAAACCAGATTCAAGGGGAAGAATAAATCGGGAAGAAGTGCTGAAAGTGGATAGGACACACATTGAGGAAATTAGCCAACTGTGTCACAAGGCAAACTATCGCATGGAATCTTCAAGGACAAAGGGAAAGAGGAAGACCATGGAACACATTATTTCGAGAAATGGATACAGATATGAGGAAAATAAAAAAAAATTGGATAGAAGTAGAAAGGAAGGCCCAGTACAGATTGAGTTGGAGAATGCTGGTCGGCGGGGTGTAACAGGCGTAAGTGAGTAAGCAAATAAGTAAGTAACTACATTCATGAAGTGGTCTGACCATTTCAGTTTATACAAAGCTGTGAAATGAAAAGATAATATTTTTGTATTGCATATTCATCGAAGTAACACAGGTATCGTTGATTTTAGATTTTTGGCAAAGTCCATTTGAGCCTCATTACACTAGAAAGGAGGATTTTTATATTTCACCAGATCGTCAAATAACAGTTGATATGATGACTCAAGAAGGAGTAATGAAATATGGAAAATTCGAAGATGAAGGATTTGAGATCGTCAGTAAACCATTAAATGTTAGTAATTAAAAGTGTGTTTTTTCTAACTTCTGTTATGTTTTGAGTTTGTCAGTCTCTTTATTCTACATTTTGATGGTTGAATTCATGAGTCCATTGAAGCCAGACGACCATGGGAAACCTGGAAATACAGGACAGTCGTTTAGTCCAAAGTGTATAGATTATCAAGATTTATTTTTGTGGAGAAAGTGCCTTATCTAGCATCATTCACTTGAAAATTAACAGTTCATTTACCCGTGCTACAGTTTGGTACCATAAATGTTTGATTATTTGTAGAGTTTTTGGATAAGGCTTATCGATTTGCGATTGCACTCATTTTTAATAAACTGTTTACATTGAACAGTTATTTTCACCTCAGCAATTATACAAATGAATTTTATAATTTGTTATATCTAGAGCTTAGTTTTCTAATATACTGTGTAAAGCTTGAGCAGTTTAACGCCAGAACCCTCCCAAGTCGTAAATGAGAAGACAGAAGAATGGATAAAGTGCTTGTTGGGCAAGTATCAAAATGTATGAAAATTACGCGTATTTATAGATATTGGCGTTTGTTAAATCAACATTATGATTCAAAAAATTCACAAAGAGGCATGATGTTTTATAGACTAAACGTAGAATACCACGTTGGTATTCTGGAAAGCGCCATTGCGTTGAAATTGAATGAAACTCTTCGGCTGTTCTAAGGCCTCTAAGGCCACTGTTGTAATTGTCCTATGCCGTCCTCACATAATTCCTATACTGCCAATTTGGTGATCGCACGAATAATCATACGGATTCCATGATAATGGTGGATATTTAAATGGATACGAACCCAGTCCAAAATATTTCAGTAGTGGTAAATCAGTTTTCTTTGTAGCCTTCTTTCCTTTACTATTTGCGTAATGTCGTTACCTGTTCAAAGTAATCAGTCGTTAGAAAATGCATGTGGTCTCATCATTTGCAAGTGCTTGCTTCTTTAGAAATTAGAATATCAGGCTTACTCTTATTTATTTCATTTCGTTCTTTCTTTCTTCAAACATCTCCAGAACACACGTTTCACATTTGTTATCGTGTTACCTCTTGAAAAGTGGTCGTTAAATGGTGCCACAGAACTTCTGAATGGCAATAAAGTTTTAAGTGAATACGTAAAGAATTTGAAAGAAACTACAGTGTCATTACGATTACCGAAATTTACATTGAAAAATACACTTGACCTTGTGCCAACATTAAAGTCTATCGGTGTTGTCGATTTGTTTGATCCAGTAAAATCTGATCTGTCAGGTAAGAATATCTAAGTTGGTAAATTCACATAAAACATTATACATTGTTCTTTTTATCAATTCTGATTATTCTATTGTGAATTGGAGTGGATATTAGCAGCACAGAATACTAGTATGTTTTCTATGCCCAGATATTTTATGTGGTTTTATTCAAACGTTCGAAGTCAATGAGTAGTGGAGTTTCTTCAAGATGACTGCTATGCTTCGTGTATCACCTGCCATTATAACCGTCATTAGATAACTCGAAGAGATGCATAGATTTCAAAAGGAAATACGACGCGGTTACTACAGTTTATTGATGTAAAGTATGAATCTCAAGCATTCTAATCGAATAAGTCGTGGAACAATTTAAGTAAGCAACATTTATGCTAGTGAGAAGAATACGCGTTTCGGCTTTAATCCATAATCAAACATACATACACATATAAACACAATTATAATGTACACATATATAATGAAGAGCAAAGTTCTAATTCTTTTGGCAAACATAAAAACAGTTCTTTTGTATGGAGCTGAAACGTGTAGAACTACTACAATAATCTTCCGAAAAGTACATGTATTTACAGGCAAATGTCTATTGAAGATACTCCAGATCCGTTGGCCAAACACTGTCGGCGACGACCTACTGTGGCAGAGAACAAATCAGCTGTCGGATGAAGAGGAAATTAGGAAGCAACTCTGAGGGTTGGTAGGATACACATAGCATTACATGGTGAACCCGGACTTGGAATCCTGAAGGTGAAAAAATAAGATGCAGATCAAAGAACACATTGGGCCGAGAATTGGAGGCAGGTATCCAAAGAATGAGTAGGAACTGGAAACAACTGTAAATGACTGCTCAGGACAGAGTTTGATGGAGAATTATAGTGGGCAGCCTATTATTCTTCACGAGGGTAACTGGTGTAAGTAAGTAAGTAGTACAAAAAAATTATCCCCGACCGAATGACACTGTTCATTAGAAATAATTCGCTTACACGACCTAATGAAATTAAACTCATACAGACTCACTTGTAGGTGAGATGCCATAAATGTTTATCTTTTTAACATTAATAATCAGAAGTCGATGGGAATAACTACAACCATTTCTTAAGGAGGGTAAGAACAAAGATTGGTGTTGAATAATATGAATTCATTTTATTTCGTTAGGTTCTCATCAGCTGCTTACAACTTAAATTATTTGAAATTCAAAATTATTACAGATATTAACATATTTATACATGAGAGTGTGATCGAGGATGAACATAACCATTTCATTTTGGCATGACACCTCATTAATGGAGATCTAACTACCTAAACATTTATTTGAATTGGTTAATACACTGTTGTATTACATGAGCACATGCAATAGTACAACTCAGTAAATCACAATTAGAAATAAATATATTAAGCTGTGTTATGATTATTTTTGTATAACTGATTTCAAGGTCAGTTAGACGGACCCAAACTGTTTATAATTCAGTGCTTGATTATCAATTATAAGTTGTTCGGTTCTCAAAATGTTTATAAGGAAATAGAAGAGACTAAGGAGAGCTGTGTAATAATAATTACCAGAACAGTTGATGAATATGTAAGACTTAACCTTCGACATCGTCTAAATTATACTTATTCATGGATAATGTGAGAAAATAAGTAACCATCAGAGTAGTATTGGAAGTAATCTCCCAAACAAAATCCAGTATATTCTGTTTCATAGAAGAAACATTTTGCAATTTTGGAAGAGAATAATTCAGTAGAAGTGGAACCTTAATTCAATATGTAATCATTCGTTAATTTCTGACATCGTGGATATTGAATTGGATGTTTGAAATGGTAGATTCAGTGGGTAAATGATCATAGAAATTCAATCAATCTCTCACAGATATATATAGTGAGAAAATAAGTAACCATCAGAGTATTATTGAAAGTGATCTTCCAAAATGATCTAGTCAATTCTTTATATGATAGACGTATTTGCATTGTTGTGTTGATCTGCACCTCGAAATTCAAGCACATTAATTTAATTACATCATGTTTTTGTTTATTCTCCCCGTCAGGAATCACACCTAATCACAATCTATATGTGAATGAATTTATTCAAACAAATGTATTAAAATTAAATGAAAGTGGAATTGAAGCAACCACTGTAACTTCACCTATATTTGTGCCTATTTCAGCCATTATACCAGAAGTAGACTTTCATGTAACTCATCCATTTATATGCTTTATATATGATCAACAATTAACAATGCCGATAATGGCAGCTAAAGTAATGAATCCAATTTTACAATCGTAGTGAAACAATCATCATTCACACTCATATATATTTGATAATTAATTGATTTCCAGATAAATCGTTTGTTTTAATACGGTGAATTATATTACGAACATTCGTTTTGTTCACTTTTCAGTGATTTACAAATAAAGATTATTCATTTTTCTAAGCTTTTCTTTATTTACAATATCATATACTGACGTTGTACCATTGTAATTTTATTCAGTTAACACATGTATATGAGAATGGGTGGTATGTGGATATTATAGGAATTTTAGTAGTTGAGATCATGAGTCAATTGAAGCTAGACTACCATTGACAACCTGGAAGCACTGGACGGCCATTTCATGTTTTTGCAAGATTCCTCAGCAGTGCCCATCCACGACCCCGCCCCGCGAGATTCGAACCCTGGACCAATCGGTCTCGCTCACGTACGCTTAACATCTAGACTACTGATGCGGCCGGGATGCAATGGTGTTAATGTGTAACTTCAAATAATCCACGAAATTGAACTACAGTTATTCCAGAATTTCCATGGTGATCTAACTTCAATTGACTCATGCCCTCAACCAGTAAAATTGTAATTCTATTTAGTTAACGCATATTTAAGAGCAAGTTAAAAAACAGAGCTGTCTTGAACCCAATAAATATCAAATATTGAGGAGTGATTGAATTATTAGTGAGATGTGTAAATGGATTGTAAGAAGACTTTGTTACAAATTGTGACCTTGTGCACTATTAATATATGACGTAATGATACCGCCAATTAGAGAAAAGTGAGTTATCGACCGGACCAATGATGAGTAAAACCTGTGCAAGCAGTCTATAGTCTTTATTGGTCCTGCTTCCTGCCTAGCCCTATCTGTTGTATCCAGAACACCAATCTCAGCGTCCGTGATAAGAATCATGCATTTCAAACATACTGGGTTCATATACAAATCAAACAGAACACATCGTGCTATAAAATAGAAAATAACGTTTGTAGAAGATGTAGCCGAAAGTGTCTGTGAATGTGGGAGACTATAATTAACAGACTGGACAGAACTCAATCACGGTAAATTGTATAATAATATTCCATAAGTCAATAAATATTCTGATAAGAGGAATATGAATATGGATCGTTTAGCTACTTAATAATTCTACAATAAAAATATATGGATCATATTGGTGCATAGATAGTTCTCAAGAGTTACCACTCATTATTCTCGTCAGAAAATAATAGCTTAGGTCGGATAAACCGATTTAATATTTGATGAGAAATTACAGAGTGCATTGAAAACACGTTATTTGCACATCTTTCCGTTGTCTTTAACATTCATTATGATTCTTTGGATTTTATTATTGTTAAGAATTTTTACTGTTTCTTATCCCGTTCTATTCAGTTCAATCTTCCACTGATAGACATTCCACATACGACTGGTGGTGTGTACTACTTTTGTCTGTCGGTATAAGTCGGTATAAGTAGTATTGATCAACGTAGTATAGGGCTAGTTTTTAGAGGAAAATAATTGTTCACCTACTATGAATGGAGAAAAATATAGTGGGGTGATGGGTATCATTACCAAGGTTGTTTTATTGTACTTTTGGTTTGGTTACTCATCCTCTGAAGAAATGGCTTATACCAAGTCACAAAACGTCAGAAAATCTAATTTTTCTACTCATTGGGATATTACAAATATATTATTTATTTATAGTGGGTTGATGTGTCAATAGAAAATCAGTATGCTTATAAAAATATTGGGTGGTTGGAGGCAGTCAGAATGAAATCCTATACCTAGGTTTTATGCTATTTGACACTAATCGGCAAAGCATATCTGATGTTTCCTAACCTACTCGAATCCGTATTATTCGGTTGAACAGCCAAGGAAGTTACGACTGAGTTATTCGGATACTGACTGGTTTCCTGTATGATTGAGGTAATCTCAACTGATTGAACAACGAGTGGTGACTAATGTCACGTATGTTCAACTCTTTATGAGCCAACTGAATTTAGTCAATATCGACAAGAAAAATACGTGTGCATGACCTATTTTGGACAGATAATTACTACCCGATTCCATCTGTAATGCACATGCTGACAGGCTCATTATAAATATGGTCGTGTAGTAATTGATATTGTTGTAGACCTACGTGGTTAATCCTGACCTACGAAAAAATGAATTCCCTTAATCATTCATTTGTTCGTTTACGCATATATTTTCGCTCGTCAACCAAACGACGTCTAACCTTGAGCATGTTTCATACATGTGTGTATGAAAGTGATATGTGACTACTCACTTCTTGTGTATCATACATGACTTTTAAAAAGGGAGTTACCTCCTTATTATTCTCTGAATAGGTGTATTACTGAACTCCAGTGCATTATGTGGTCGATTTATACATTTCCGGTTTTGTTTAAGTAGATGGAACGAGATAAACTTCTCATATGCCGACTTGTTTGGTCACAATTAGAGATTTATGATATCTGTTGAAATAAATCTACTAACTAATCCAATTATTAACTAATTGGAATTGGACGAAAATCCTACTTCATATTTAGGCAATGGTTTTCATATACGAACTGATTATATACCAATATGTTTCTCCACATACTTTAATTCGAATATATTTCAATGTTTGTAATCTCTACTTTGCATTTTTAGAATTCAGAATCAACAATCTAACATAAATGAACAATCTCTTAGCGTATTGAAGGAGAACACAATCGGTGTCAACTTAATGTACTACAGTACAAAATAACAGAGCATCTTAATAAAATCTCAGAACCATACAGTAAATTCTTCGTTTGCGAAATGTCAATCAATCGTCTCAGAATTCATTGTTATTTCCTTTCCCACCAATCATTCTCTGTTCTCGTTCTCTTTCATTCGATCTAATTAACATTATGTAGCCAGGCATTTCACTTTCGATTGATGATACATACTACTTATGTCTGTCGATATGAGTAGTACACACCACATGAGTACAAAATGGTTTCATGACCTCTGAAAAACTTCAGACCAAACCTGGGAGAGAAATGTTATTTTCAGAAGATATTCTCAATTTGTGATTTTTATAAATGCAACATTGTAAATAAGAATGTAAACAATATTTGACCTATAACATAATGAAGATATTACTCTGACCACTACTAATTTACAGATTCCGGTGTATTAATCTGTTTACAAAAGAAAACAGTTGCATCAGTTAAGCTAATTAGGTCACATATCATTTTATTTTGTACTTCAAATGTATTAGAATACTTTTTGTATCGTCAGTCAGTCAGTCTGTCAGCTACAATGTAGGACCAGGCATATATGTGCATCGGTTCAATTTGCCATACTGCATTAGCACAGTCAGAGGAACACCGGATTCCTAGAAGTGGTTGATTCGGTGGTAATATATAAAAGAATGATTGCATATAAAGGCATAGTACAGGAAGACAGAGAGTATTTACAATGGCGCCGTTGTGATCGATTCTGAGCAATGTCACCCAGAGTCTCCAACCACTGGTTACGATGTTGATGCAGACCTCACCGAAGTAGTCTGCAACTACCTTGTATGGAATCAGTTGTGAGTATTAAAAAAATCAAAAAGCCTTGATAGGATCCCAAGACTACTAATCTAATCTGATAAGTGTTAGATGCTCTACAGTTGGCTTTATGGGAATGTATGGTTATTTAAACGTAGTTGCTGTTACGTGTGATCGATAAACGAACTCACCAATGCTAACATGAAATGCCCACCAACGCATTAGCTTTCTTTGACCTTGACTCTGCCTTGTTCATCCACCAATCACAGTTTTATGTTCATCTTAAATCAATATTCGTTTTGTTGACTCATTTCTCTTATAGTCTCGTTACTGTTCGGTATGTTGTTTATGTTTTTCCTTTTCCCTGATTAATAGACTGTATTGTTTATTTTGTATAGTGACAGTGTTGATTTACGTTTTAGAAACAGATAAAGTTTAACAATCCGAATAGCTTACTTGAAATGACTTTGGTTAAGCTGAGCTACGACTCATGTAGTGTGGCATCGAGTCGCGGTTGACTATGATTACCACTAGAGGAAGACTACGTGCCAGTTACCAGGCTATATCCATCCGTAGGCCAAATATCAGAAAGCAGTTGATGGCTTTAGTCGAAATGTATTAGTTGGCGATCTCGTGTTATCGAAAGAATACCGAGATCGTGCCGAAGGCATACAAGTGTGATTGTAGTGAAGAAGAACACGGGTGGGGACAATCGATTGTATTTAGCACAAAAATTACAGACTAAATCAATAAAATGTGAATACCATAAAGTCAATCGTCAATTTGCAAAATATCATTCCATCATATCAAACTGTACTGTTCCCGTTGCAAACACTAATCCATTGTCGCCCATTCCATTGTACATGCGTTTTCTTACAATTCCATTGTGCTCTTGCTCTTCCTTTCTCGATCTGTGCCATCTTCTGCTGCCGGACATTACGTTCTTTTAACGCACGTTATATACTACTTATATCAATATAAGTAGCTCACACCACATGATTACTGAGTGTAACCGAATTCGTGCAAGGTCACAATCGAAGGAAGGAAGAATGTCGAAGGTTAGAGGTTTGAACCCCTAAGAAAACCACATACTTCGGTCTGGGCACTCAGCAGTATCACAGCCCACACCTAAATCATGAGACTTGTGTGGCGTATATGTATTCGGTGCCACATTTTAACAATATTTTGTGCTCAAATAAATAAGTAGTTTCATACAATACTACTCTTTTGTTAAAATCATAAGCGTAACAAGTAGCTGATATGTATGAAGTTACAAACTCTCTGTTTAGTAAGATTACAAAGCCTAGAACTTTTAAAAAACAACCTAAATTATACTAAACACTAAATATCATTTGTAATGGAACTATACACATCTCATAAAAATCACACTTATTTTGACGTGTGATTTAACAACTAAACTTTTATGAAAATGATATACGATAAAGAGTGTGTGTGTGTGGCTATCAGTGAAATCCCAACTGCTCATTTCTTTCTAACTGGTACCCGTCATCTAGTTATACCTGCATCTCAGAATTGATTTTCACTCTGAGATTCAAAACTGGTGCCATTCGTTCCACTTAGCTACTACTGAGCCTAGATATCCACTCGTTTGTGCAACATGATATTTCAAATGATTACAAATTACACATTGAAGTTGGTTAGTGTTACGGAGTGACATCAACATGAATAACCAGGAAGTGTTGATTAGTTGTTTAGTCCTAATTTAAGATGGAAATCACCTGTAGTGCAACGTTAGTTTATTTATTTAAGAATATGCTTGAACAGTAAATTGGAATTCGGTCTGTATTCTTAGGATTCATAATGTATTTTTCATTCATCATTTTAATTTTCCATGCGTTTAAACCAGACAATATTGTAAATTATTATTTAGCTGTTTAAAAATTCCCATAGAATATGCAAACACCAACGATATTTGGGCGAACAGTAGTTTCTGCAAAATCTTCATCATCATCAGACTACATAGTTATAAGTCCATAATTATTGTTATCTTTTATAAAGCCCAAGATAAGGCATGTCCTGATGAATTTGACAATGTTACATGTTGAAAATGGTGGACGTTCGCAACTGTTATGACATGTATACTTCAGAATTGTGTTATCTGCAAATTAGAAAGTTCATTTCATAGAGGTCAGAATGATTTCGAGTAAAGTGTCCGGTCAAAATCAGTAGTGGCAAAATTGGAAGTGTCAGTAGTTGAGATCATGAGTCAACCGAAGCTAGACCACCATGGAAAATCTGAAAGCACTGGACGGCCAACTTGTCCTATTGTGGAACTCCTCAGCAGTGCGCATTCACGACCACCCCTCGCGGGATTCGAACCCAGGACCTATTGGTCTCACGCGCGAGCACTTAACCACTAGGCCATTGAGCCTGCCGGGATCCAACGGTGTTAATTTCTAACTTCAACTAAGCCACGAAATTGAGCGACACATCCACAACTGTCATCAGCAAGTTGCTATCTCACAATTGACCCAGTTGAACTCCACCGATCACTACTTAACACTAGAACTCCAGGATATACAAAATTGTATGAATAAAATGCATAGTAAGATAATTTCACCTTGTTGATTTTGATAATAATAATAATAATAATAATAATAATATTGTTGTTGTACATCTTCGATAATTTGATGCGATTGCAGAATAGTTGTTGTTGTGTGAATATAATATGTTATAAGAGGGGTGTTATCAAGGTTATTACGACAAACAAAAAAGGATTCATGTGAATTGGTAATGATGGATGTAAAGATTAAGATAGATGTAATGAAAAGCGAAAATCAAATTGGATTTTATCAGTATGGGGGTTGTGATCAACCAAAAACTTAACAATCTCCACAACCCCCATACTGATAATTAACATGTGCTCACTAGTAACTAGCTTCGTGAGGAAATTCTCGGAGTTCTAGTGAGAAGTCGTGACCAGTGGAGCTAATCCGTGTCGGGTAGAGACAGGTATCTACCTCAGTACAACGGAAGTTGGTCGCGCAATTTCGTGGATTGGTTGATGTTAGACACTAACAGCATTGGATGCCGGCTCAGTGGTCTAATGGTTAAGTGCTCGGGCGCGAAGCCAGTAGGTCCTAAGTTCGAATCCCGCGGGGTGCGGGATCGTGGATGCGCACTGCTGAGGAGTCCCATACTAGGACGAAACGGCCGTCCAGTGCTTCCAGGTTTCCAACGGTGGTCTAACATCAATTGATTCATGATCTCAACCAAAAAATTGGATTTTATCCGTTATTGCACTGTTGCACACCAATATCCGAAAGACGATTGCAGATCTTTACGTCGATGTAAAATTAAACCTATCATATTAAATCACTGAAAAAATATGCTCTTAGTTGAATCGAACCTCTTCAGACGTATATATTGTTGAGCTAGAAAGGAATATTACACAGATTATATAGCGTTCAAGATCGTCCGAAAAACTTGAAGGATTAATACATGACTTGTATCCTAGAAGTGCAAAGAACGAGGGAAAACAAAAGAATAATAGAACTAATCAAGGGATCAGACAACCAGATATTAAATCAGATTTTTCGGAAGACTGTAACCAGTATTTCTTTTAACTTTACCTCTGTTAATTTCGATAGGACTCAACTAGAAGCATTTTCATAAGGTCCTAAGTTTTGTAATAATCGTAGACCTGTGGATCATCTGAAGACTGATTTTCAGTTTGAGAATCTATATACTCAGACACAAGACTTAATGCCCACGACAAAGGTCGAATTTGGAAGATTCAAAACCACATTGGTTGATTGCTGTAACCAGTTTAAAAGCAACAAGTAATATACGAGTATTATATTGACTGATAAATATCTCGAGGGTATCCGGAAACTAAAATTGAATGAACACATTCTTATCACTAAACCTGATAAAGGATCAGGCACAGTAATTCTAAATAGGACAGATAACATAGATGAGATGAATACCCTTCTGAGTGATCAAACTAAATTCCAGAAGCTTGGGTCATGTAAAGACCGAACGTTAACTAACTGCAGCATTAAAATTTCCAAAAGAACATCACATTTCTGAGCATACCTATAATGGGCTCATGCCCTAAATGCCTTGGTATGGCCGAGAGTGGGGAGAGTCCACTCTTCCTCTCGAAATGCTCTCACATGGCCACGCGTATATAGCCTCTGCCAGGGAGATCCTACTCACTGCCTTCTCGTGGCGGGGGTGTTGTTTACGAAAGTAAGAGGACGAAAAGCGAATGTCCAGCGCTTTAACTGGATTCCAAACCAATGGTGGACGTGGGCTCCAGTATCCTGATGGAACAAATGGCGTGTGAACCAATTGTTGTTCACCGGCTACCATGGGACTTCATCTGTGTGGCGCATATGTGCTTGGTGCCTCCTTGTACCAATATCCATGTGTTAAAATAAAAAGTAATGGGCTCAAGCCTTATGGAACACATACCTCTCGACTCTATGGCCTACCTAAGATTCATAAACCTGAGGTTTCTTTGCGCCCAATTCAACCAATTCAACTGCTTCTTTGGAGCTAATTACATAGGCTGTACTCAGAGGGCTTTATCCTTGTGTGTTCGTGAACGTGTACCAGCATGGTTGGGAAAAGAAGTGACAAAATTGATAAACAGCAATATCCTCTCTCACTTGTTAGATAGTAAATATCATATCAACATAGAGGAAGCTTTCTCTGTTTCATATCAGGTTCCAAAATAACTACCTCAAGGAGCTAGATTACGGTTACTCTACATAGCTGAAGCCATCTGGATCAACTCTAGAAAACTGAAAATATGTATCCAGAAAATGTATATCCAGCCTCTATGTTTACTTTAACCTACGACTGGATCACTGCATACCTAAACTGAATATTATAAACCTCTTATTCTCTTCTTTTTTTGATTACATCTATCTTAGTCTTCACATCCATCATTACCAATTCACATGAATCCTTTTTTGTTTGTCGTAATAACCTTGATAACACCCCTCTTATAACATATTATATTTACACAACAACAATATTATTATTACTGTTATCATTATTATCTCAATTAACAAGATGAAATTCTCCTACTATGCATTTTATTGACAAAGTTTCTTCTCATTTTCATTTTTGCTACTACTGATTGTGACCAGGCACTTTACTCCAAATCATTCTGATCTTCATTGAATGACCTTTCTCATTTGCAAATAACACAATTCTGAAGTGTACATGTCGTAACAGATGTAAACGTTCACCAATTTCAACACGTAACATTGTCAAATTCAACAGTACATGCCTTATATTGGCCTTTGTAAAAGATCACATATATTTATGGACTTATAACCATGTAGTCTCATGATGATGAAGATGATGATGTTGATGTTATTGCAGAAACAATTATTCGCTCAAATATTCTTCGTTTTACATTATTACTTAGTTTCTAATTTAATAAACATTGATTAATAATATCATATGTTCAAAGCATATTAATTGTCTATTCACGCAAATATTGATTCATAAAGCTAAGATAACTTTAATAATCTTAATTGGTTTCTATTATTATACGTATAGTGTAGAACACGTTAATCCGATTTAACCAATCTGAATCATACTACTGATGACTAGTAAGACACATATCTGTAGGATTAAACTAAGGCGTTCTTTAAAAAATGGTGATTAGCTTATTATATATATAAATCAGTCATTAATTTTATCTAGTTCTGTAGTAGTTTAAGATATGGGTATACTATTTACTCCAGAAAATCATGATCCATATGCTAATATTCCAAGCCATAAGGCATTTACCCGTGCGTATCTTTCGACAGTTACTGCAGACTTTGGTAAGTTTTATTAATTATTTACGATTGAATTCGTATATACCTCTCGTTGGTTGATTAATTTATAACTTGATTAATAATGTTATTGATAAGAGTTTAATCAAAGCATTATATCAATAACAATTTCGTGGAGTTTTAGTGAGAAACAGTGATCAGTGGAGTTCAACTGAGTCTGTTGTGAGATATCTGCTCATTGAAGACAATTGTGGATGTGTCGTTCGATTTCGTGGATTAGTTGATGTTAGATATTAACACTGTTGGATCCTGGCATGCCCTGTGTTCTAGAATTTAAGTGTTCGTGATCGAGACTGATAGGTAGTGGGTTAGAATCTTGCTAATATCATATAAAATCATTCACAAAATGTAGAAAAATACACAGTACACAGGAGAGGATTATTTTCGATGCGACCCATTATTGCAGTTGAATTGTATTTATTTGTGTGTAAAAAACTCCTTGTTAATACAGAAAAACTAAATGGCATTCTTTCGTTATATTCTTGACTTTCCGATAATTTTTATTAAGGATGACAGATCAAGACAGTCATAAGGTAATTATTAAAGTTCTTTCCTAGAGTTAACTTGCGAAGATGTTTACTCTGCACGCGTTCAATGAAATGGTGTGACCAACAAACCTACATCAAAGTTATACCATACGACGATTTCCTAAACTGAATCACCTCTATTCAGTGGTCAAACCATTTTTTCTGCAACTTTCGTAACAGTGAGGAAGAAACAGAAGCGTGCTTGAATAATAATGTACATCAAGTAGATCAGAATGACGAGGTATGTAGTATCGATATTATTCTACCTGAGATGTGAAATTCGGTGATATAGTTGAAAATACGAAGGATAGTATAGGTTCTGTCAATATTAACAAATTCAATGTACGAAGACCTTACTGTTGAAGTCATTAAATTTCATATTACCCAACCTATAGTATAATGTCTAATTTAACCTTGACATTTCTACCTAGAATGTGGTTCTATTGTTTACTGTTTATTAATTAATTAATTAATTAATTAATTTATTAATTAATTTATTTATTTATTTATTTAACATTATTTATCCAAATGGCTTAGGTGGGGACAACTTCCTGACATGTCCCCTTGGTATACTTTTCACACTCGGTATCCTGTTAGGATCTGGCGGTGCTCAAGGTAGAACAGGTTATCAAATTGGAAAAGCAATGAGACTGAAATCGACATCTTGTTCATGGAATTCTTTCGAAGCTGAAGAAAATGTGAAATCATTATATCAAGAGCTTAATAACTCGCTCACTTCAGAAAAAACATTTTTAAATGAGAAAGAAGAAAATGTTGTTAGAATATCAACAGGTATATTTATACAAAATACTTACGAAGTTGAAAGACGTTTTAACGAAAGTATTGCAAATGATTTCGAAGGAGAATTGAAACAGGCAAGTTATTGTTCACTTGTTATTGTTTGACTTGTATCTTCCTATTGAGGTTTAAGCCTGCAATTGATCAGTCTGTTGTTGGCATATGTGCATACTGTGCGTATGCCTCGATATTGCCTTAATTCACAAGCTTTTTATAAGCAAAGATGGATAGTTGCTAGCAGTGGAATCCAGGATGTGCGTTTCTACCTATTTGAGAATCGTCAGCTGAATGTACTTGCACCTCGGATTTAATGTTCACTCTGGGACACGAACATGTCACATTATGGATTGCTTGGTTGGTAAATCATGAATCGGAATCCTAGTGGTTGGAATGTCGCACAACTTTACCTCTGAGTGTAATCTAGTCACAGATCTATCCATGTAATGAATTAATTTTGTTTTAAAGTTTACTACTATTGTAATGACTCACTTATCTTTGAAGCATATGCTGCTGATGTTATTCACAACGACGAACTATATACAACTAAATGATCCAACTTAAAGATCACGACATCTGCAAAGCTTACTGTCGGTAATCATAATCGGAATAAAGTCATTAATTCTGTTAGTATTTGTTGATCAGAATTAATTAACGCTTACAAATTCTTAATGTTCATTACTCTAGGTGGATTTTTCTAATGGAACTAGTGCTACAGTTGATATCAATGATTGGGTTGATCAACAGTCTAATGGTTTATTGGAGAAATTCTTTACAGATGATATTCCAGATGATACTGCGATGATACTGGTAAATGTTTTCTACTTTAGAGGTAAGCTATAATCCGACTGTTTAAAGTTTGGGTTTTAATAGAAGAACAGACTTGAAGACTTTTTGTTGCTTAAAATATGATAACTTTAATAATCAGAATCACAATAATAGCCTGAATTGTTCATGTTAAGTATTTTGTATTTTGTTTATAGGGCGATTAAAGTGAGTATGTAGGATGTTCGTGATTTAAGATTTGTGATGTTTGAGACTTGTGAAATAGGCGGAACTGTAAAAGTTGAGTGAAGGTTTATGCTAGTATGACTTGAAGTTGGGTCATGGAGGAATAAGCCATGTTGATGGATGTAAACAAGCAGTAATCGTACGTCCGGACCACCATGGTTACTACTACATATTTTGAAACTTTGAGAGATACCATATATTGATCAACGAGTTTGTGAACTTTTCCAAACTCTTGTCCAAACACACTATTGTGAATCATTTTATAATTTGTGGGGGCGGAAGCACGGTATATAGTCGACAGTTAGGATACAGCTGGATGATCTAGATTTCGCAGATGATCTGTCTCTTCTATAGCACACGCCACAACAAATGCATGAGAACACGACCAGTGTGGCAGCCGCCAAATCTGATGTAAGTCTCAGCATATATAAAGGAACAAGCAAGATTGTCTGATATAACGCAACAGGCACCAAATGAATCACGCTATTTTTTATTTATTTATTTATTTATGCCTGTTACCCCCAGTGGAGTATCGACCACTGATCAGCATTCTCCAAACCACTCTATTCTGTTTCATCCTTTCTAGTTCTATCCAATTGTTGTTCATTCTTTTCATATCTATCTCCATTTCTCTGTGCAATGTGTTCCATTGTCGTCTACTCCTCTTCCTTTGACCTTGAGGATTCTAAGTGAGGAATTGCCTTGTGACTCAGTTGCGTGCCTTCCCGAATGTATTTCCTATCCACTTCCAACACTTCCTGATTTCTTCCTCCGCTGGGATCTGTTTGTTCTTTAACATAGTATGTTAATGCTGATAGTGTCTGGCAAACGGGTCCTAAGTATTCTGCATAGACAATTATTAACGAACACCTGTATCTTCTGGATGATTGTTTTGGTAGTTCTCCAAGCTTCCACCCCATGCAGTAGAACTGTTTTGACCTTGGTATTGAAAATCCTGACCTTGTTGTTGGTTGACAGTTATTTTGATTTTCAGATGTTCTTCAGTTGTAGATATGTTGCTTTTACATCTGCATCAGATCTACCGTGTTCACTGATGATGCTGCATAGATACGTAAATGTTTTAACATCTTCCAAAGCTTGTCCTTCAAGTGTGATTTGATTGATGCATGTTGTGATATATCGGAGAATGTGAATGTTGAGAACTACTGTTACTGAGGCTACTGCTACACCGGTCTTGTTCTCGTGAATTTGTTGTTGCGTGTGCGATAGAACAGCCAAATCACCTGCGAAGTCTGGATCGTCCGACTGCATCCTAGCTGTCCACTGAATCCCATGCTTCCCCCAAGATGTTGATGTCTTCATGATCCAGTCGATCACTATGAGAAAGTGCTAGGTTTGAAGCTATCACCAGTTCACTTAATCTGCGAACGAGAACAAGACTTGGTGACCAAAGACTAGTAAGCTAGCTATTGATGCGTCCCAGCCCCACTAACTAGAGGGAGAAGCCCAAGCTTGGAATGGGAAGTATATTCTGCAAAACAGCCAGAAACAAGCTTCTCACAAATCACAAGCCTTTGTTCGCAATATTCGGGTCGAAATCTGGCATTCCAGCTCATTCTGCAAATCGTCTTCAGAGATCGGCCTTAGCACTCTTGGGGTATGATTTCGAGATCCAGTATCGACGCACTCAACAACTCGTTCAGGCAGACGCCCTGTCACGATTTATTAGCGAACACCGTACGGCCAACGAAGATGTAGTTATTGCCTCTCTAATAACAGAGGACCACGCGCAATGTTACCTGACATCTGCTGTTCGTGCTTTGCCAGTCTCAGCAGCTAAAATACAATCTACCTCCAGGAACGACCCCATCATTAAGAGAGCGATGAGATACGTCAGCAATGGCTGGCCGTCAACTGGACTCGATGGTGACTTGAAGCAGCTTTACCACCGTTGAGACTGATTATGCGTCGTGAATGAGTGCTTGATGTTTGGAGATAGAGTAGTGGTGCCAGAGTCCCTAAGATCAAGGGTGCTAAAGCAGTTTCACACTGGTCATCCTGATATAAAACGAATGAAACCCATCGCCAGAAACTATGCTTATTGACCCCCTCATGGACCAACACATCATGGATTTAGTAGGCAAACGCACGCAATGTCAGCAAGAGGCGAAATATAATGCGAAAGCGACGCCGGTCTCATGGCCACGACCTGAGTATCCCTGGTCCAAGATACGTGTCAATTTCATTGGTCCAATCAGTGGGACTACCCATCAGGTCGTGATTGACGCCTTTTCAAAATGGCCAGAAATTGTCCCCATTATGCCACTGACGACTACCAAAACGATCCCACTCTTGATGGAGACGCTCGCTCGCAATGGGTTACCGGATGCACTTGTATCAGATAACGGTTCTCAGTTCACTTCAACGCAGTTACAAGTTTTCTGCCAACGGTTATCCATCAAGCATCTTCGCTGTCGACCCTACCAGCCGCAATTGAACGGCCAAGCAGAAAGATTTGTGAATACGTTTAAGAGAGCTCTGATCAAGTTGAAAAGGGAGGGGATGCCAGTGGAAACACTGCAAAACTTCTTCGTTTACAGAGTGACACCAAGTGATGTTTTACACGAGCAGAAGTCCTCAGCAGAAATCCTCATAGGAATAAAATTGAGGACGTTCCACGATCCGATGCTTCCAAAAACCACACAATCGCCGCCACAGACCAAATCCGAGAAGCTGCCAACGTACGAGGTTGGACGTCCGGTTTTCACTCGTGACTACGCAAGCGGTTAGCCCCAGTTCGCCCATCGACAAAAGGGAATCTCCCTCTTGACATCCTACTGGATACCTTTAGTCTACCCGCAATCCCGACACAGGAAGAAGCACATCGACAAGTCGATCTACGGCCCAGAAGGTGGTCACTCCGACAACGGCGACAAACGGTCACAATGCAAGTGGACCCCAGAAACGTACGTCATTAAATGGGGAGGGTGTTGGGGATTTTAGGTCCCCAAAACTCACTTGGTAAATGCCTTAATTTTGTGATTTTATTTTTGAAATTTAAGTTTCCTTGTTTTCGCGTCAAAAGCGCACTTTTCACCCTCATGTCGTATTTCTCACTTGGGAGAATCTTTAACTCTATTTGTCAGTTGTGTATTTTCAGTATGCTATTTTTGCTACGCTTCCCAAGGACAGTTTCATGCTGTATATATACGTTTGATTTGTGTCTGTTATTATTCCTCGTGCTTCTGGCTTACGGAATATACTCTTCCGTTCTAAGCTTGGACTTCTTCCTCTAGTTAGCGGGGCTGGGACACATCAAATAGCTTGCTTATTGATCTCCCGACCGTTGTTGCTACCTTGACGTGGTGGTCGGTCTTCCGTATCGTGATGAGGCTACCGAGCTATATTAGCTAGAACAACCGTTTCTCAAAGTCTTACTATGTCAGACAGGTCGGTGAAGAGCGGTTAGACTAAAAGCAACAAATCTAAGGTCCGAAAGCGAAGTCGTACTGCTGACTGTACAGAAGTGTGACAGCAGTAAGGTGTTTCCTTCAGACAAACAGAATGACAGTGATGCTGCCTTCCCACAAGGAGGGGTGGGGCTAGAAAAGGTCGACCCTAAAAATGCACACCTCCTCTTATCCCACGGATATCCGCCTCTTGCGGTGAGGTCTTAACAAGTACGGAGGTAACAGAAAAATTACCCATAAAAAGGTCGTGTGCGACCGATCTCAAGCAGTTGTCCCTTGGGCACTGCGGTCACGCTCCCAGGTCACTAAGACCACCTCTAATCCAATTTCCTTTTCAGGTACCTCCAGAAGAACCCTTCCACGGTGTGGGCGACCGGGATTTGATAATAGCCCTCATACGGTCACAAGTCTTTGTTCCGTTCGCATACTAAGTGGACTCGTAATAGCTCCAAACCTAGCACTGCTATATCTGATTTCAGTGCCTCTGCCGGACTGTTGTTTGGTCCCACTGCTTTGCAGCCATTGATTTATCTGATGACCATGCTGATATGATCTATAGTTGGTTGGCCAACATAAATTGGGAGGTTCGTGAGTGCTGCTTCGATGTTAGATGGGTTCAGTGGGGTTGGTCGATTCAAGTGTTGTTTGAAGTGTTTTGCCCACCTGTTTCTCTGTTCTTCAATGTTAGTGATTACTTTGCCTTCCGTGCTTTTCACTGATCGTTTTGAATTACAATAATTTCCAGCGAGTTTCTTTGTTGCGTCATACAGTTGTCTAATGTTTTTTTCTCATCCAGCCCTTCACACCGTCACTGCTATATGTTTCACATATTTACGTTTAACGGTTCTGATACTCCTCTTCACTTGCTTGTTTACTTCTGTGAACTCATCTAGTGCTTTGGCTTTCTCTGTTCTTGTTCGGCTGGTATTTATTGATACCTTCTAGTTCCTCCTTTCTTAAATATTATCCAGTGTGTCAACAGTTATCCATTCCTTGTGATGGTGCTTCTTGTGGCCCAGAATCTCATAGTATGTTGAAGTGATTGACTCTTTTATCCCTTTCCAGTTGCCTGGAAATTATTGCTGAGGGCTAAATTGAATTTGTTGAGTTTGTCAGTATCCCGAAGAAAGGCTGTACCGAACTTTCGTGATGTTGTCCATCCCGTTGTCAAGTGCTTCTTAAGCTTCAATTTCATCTTGGCGACCAGCAAGTGATGATCTGATGTTATATCAGCTCCTCTCTTGGTTCTCACGTCCTCCATCGTCCTTCTGAAATTTTTATAGATGCAGATATGGTCGATTCGGTTTTGCGTAGTGTGATCCGGTGAAGTCCATGCGGCCTTGTGTATGCGTTTATGTGGGAATATAGTGCCGCCTATGACCAGTTTATTGAAGGCACATAGGTTTGTAAACCTCTCACCATTTTCGTTCCTTTCTCCCAGTCCGTGTCGTCCCATGATTTCTTCATATCCGGTGTTGTCCATTCCAACCTTCGCATTCAGATTTCACATCAGAATGGTCAAATCCTTTGCTGGGCACTTCTCGACGATCGACTGCAGAATATTGTAGAATTGATCTTTAAGATCTTCATTGCAGTCACTGGAAGGCCCTAAGGATTGGATGACGTTCATTGTCATGCTCACTTTCTTAGTTTTGAAGGAGGCTTTAATGATCCTGGATTCATGAGATTCCCATCCTATAACTGCATTTTGTGTCGGGGTATAACAGAGGCTCCCCTGAAGCTAGTCGTTGTTGTCCAACCTGCGTGCAATGTGTTTCATTGATTCCAAACACTTCCAGCTTGTATCTTTTAATCAGGAAGAAGTGCTGGAAGTGGATAGGACATACATTGAGGAAATTAGCCAACTGCGTCGCGAGGCAAACCATCGCATGGAATCCTCAAGTTTAAAGGAAAAGAGGAAGACCATGGAACACATTACTCGGAGAAATGGAGACAGATATGAGGAAAATGAAAAAAAAATTGGGTAGAAGTAGAAAGGAAGGCCCAGTACAGATTGAGTTGGAGAATGCTGGTCGGCGGGGTGTAACAGGCGTAAGTGAGTAAGCAAATAAGTAAGTAACTACATTCATGAAGTGGTCTGATCTTTTCAGTTTATAAAATGCTGTGAAATGAAAAGATAATATTTTTGTACTGCATATTCATAGAAATAACACAGTTATCGTTGATTTTAGATTTTTGGCAAAGTCCATTTGAGCCTCATTACACTAGAAAGGAGGATTTTTATATTTCACCAGATCGTCAAATAACAGTTGATATGATGACTCAAGAAGGAGTAATGAAATATGGAAAATTCGAAGATGAAGGATTTGAGATCGTCAGTAAACCATTAAATGTTAGTAATTAAAAGTGTGTTTTTTCTAACTTCTGTTATGTTTTGAGTTTGTCAGTCTCTTTATTCTACATTTTGATGGTTGAATTCATGAGTCCATTGAAGCCAGACGACCATGGGAAACCTGGAAATACAGGACAGTCGTTTAGTCCAAAGTGTATAGATTATCAAGATTTATTTTTGTGGAGAAAGTGCCTTATCTAGCATCATTCACTTGAAAATTAACAGTTCATTTACCCGTGCTACAGTTTGGTACCATAAATGTTTGATTATTTGTAGAGTTTTTGGATAAGGCTTATCGATTTGCGATTGCACTCATTTTTAATAAACTGTTTACATTGAACAGTTATTTTCACCCCAACAATTATACAAATGAATTTTATAATTTGTTATATCTAGAGCTTAGTTTTCTAATATACTGTGTAAAGCTTGAGCAGTTTAACGCTAGAACCCTCCCAAGTCGTAAATGAGAAGACAGAAGAAAAATGGATAAAGTGCTTGTTGGGCAAGTATCAAAATGTATGAAAATTACGCGTATTTATAGATATTGGCGTTTGTTAAATCAACATTATGATTCAAAAAATTCACAAAGAGGCATGATGTTTTATAGACTAAACGTAGAATACCATGTTGGTATTCTGGAAAGCGCCATTGCGTTGAAATTGAATGAAACTCTTCGGCTGTTCTAAGGCCTCTAAGGCCACTGTTGTAATTGTCCTATGCCGTCCTCACATAATTCCTATACTGCCAATTTGGTGATCACACGAATAGTCATACGGATTCCATGATAATGGGGGATATTTAAATGGATATCATCCCAGTCCAAGATATTTCAGTAGCCTTAAATCAGTTTTCTTTGTAGCCTTCTTTCCTTTACTATTTGCGTAATGTCGTTACCTGTTCAAAGTAATCAGTCGTTAGAAAATGCATGTGGTCTCATCATTTGCAAGTGCTTGCTTCTTTAGAAATTAGAATATCAGGCTTACTCTTATTTATTTCATTTCGTTCTTTCTTTCTTCAAACATCTCCAGAACACACGTTTCACATTTGTTATCGTGTTACCTCTTGAAAAGTGGTCGTTAAATGGTGCCACAGAACTTCTGAATGGCAATAAAGTTTTAAGTGAATACGTAAAGAATTTGAAAGAAACTACAGTGTCATTACGATTACCGAAATTTACATTGAAAAATACACTTGACCTTGTGCCAACATTAAAGTCTATCGGTGTTGTCGATTTGTTTGATCCAGTAAAATCTGATCTGTCAGGTAAGAATATCTAAGTTGGTAAGTTCACATAAAACATTATACATTGTTCTTTTTATCAATTCTGATTATTCTATTGTGAATTGGAGTGGATATTAGCAGCACAGAATACTAGTATGTTTTCTATGCCCAGATATTTTATGTGGTTTTATTCAAACGTTCGAAGTCAATGAGTAGTGGAGTTTCTTCAAGATGACTGCTATGCTTCGTGTATCACCTGCCATTATAACCGTCATTAGATAACTCGAAGAGATGCATAGATTTCAAAAGGAAATACGACGCGGTTACTACAGTTTATTGATGTAAAGTATGAATCTCAAGCATTCTAAGCGAATAAGTCGTGGAACAATTTAAGTAAGTAACATTTATGCAAGTGAACAGAACATACGTGTAGGCTGTAATCCATGATCGAGCATAAATGCACATACAAACACAATTATAATACACACATATACAGCCAAGACTAAAGTCAGAATTCTCAAGACATACATAACAACATTTCCTTTGTGTGGAGTTGAAACGTGGAGAATAGTTAGATGGACCCAAACTGTTTATAATTCAGTGCTTGATTATCAATTATAAGTTGTTCGGTTCTCAAAATGTTTATAAAGAAATAGAACAGACTAAGGTAAGCTGTGTAATAATATTTACCAGAACAGTTGATGAATATGTTAGACTTAACCTTCGACATCGTCTAAATTATACTTATTCATGGATAATGTGAGAAAATAAGTAACCATCAGAGTAGTATTGGAAGTAATCTCCCAAACAAAATCCAGTATATTCTGTTTCATAGATTAAAAATTCCGCAGTTTCGGAAAAGAATAATTCAACAGAAGTGGAACCTTAATTCAATATGTAATCATTCGTTAATTTCTGACATCGTGGATATTGAATTGGATGTTTGAAATGGTAGATTCAGTGGGTAAATGATCATAGAAATTTAATCAATCTCTAACAATGGAATAATTCTTAATATTCATCAACAAGATGTACTTGCATTATTGATTTGATGTGTACCTCTAAATTCAAGCACATTAATTTAATTACATCATGTTTTTGTTTATTTTCCCCGTCAGGAATCACACCTAATCACAATCTATATGTGAAAGAATTTATTCAAACAAATGTATTAAAATTAAATGAAAGTGGAATTGAAGCAACCACTGTAACTTCACCTATATTTGTGCCTATTTCAGCCATTATACCAGAAGTAGACTTTCATGTAACTCATCCATTTATATGCTTTATATATGATCAACAATTAACAATGCCGATAATGGCAGCTAAAGTAATAAAGCCAGTTTTACAATCGTAGTGAAACAATCATCATTCACATTCATATATATTTGATAATTAATTGATTTCCAGATAAATCGTTTGTTTTAATACGGTGAATTATATTACGAACATTCGTTTTGTTCACTTTTCAGTGATTAACAAATAAAGATTATCCATTTTTCTACGCTTTTCTTTATTTACAATATCATATACTGACGTTGTACCATTGTAAATCTATTCAGTTAACACGTGTATATGAGAATGGGTGGTATGTGTATATTATAGGAATTTTAATAGTTGAGATCATGAGTCAATTGAAGCTAGACTACCTATAATATTCTAATTATAGTATGAACTAGGAATTCCAGGACTAACGCAATTGAACTAAGAAGACACAGGCACAAACGAATGTATTGTATTTAGAATTCGAAATCAAGTATTCAACCAGTACCAAGGTATCATTGGTTCATTCAAACACCACATCCGCCACAGCTTAAATTGGAGTCTAGGTGTTTATAATCAATCGTACGTCTTCTTCTCAAATTCATCCTGAGTCTGTCTGACATTGTATTGGATAAGGATTCTGTATTATCTAGAATATGCTCATTAGCATTAGAATTAACAATCGAAATTGGAACCGACTCACCTGGTTCCTGAAATTGTATTTGATCTACATGTCGACTGTGTGTACTTAAGTCATCGATGTCTAGAATTCGCACCATCGATTTTCCGACATTCTTCAGAACAATACCCGTAGATGGTCGAAGATCATTTCCTCGATAGTATGTAACCTCTGCAGACTCCAGACATCTCATATTCGACCGAAGAATTCTTCCTTTCAATAGCTTCGCTGGAGTCTCCTTCGTCACCGAATGTTTGGCATTTCTATATTGCAATAGAAAGGTATATACTCCCCTCTCCAGCTCATTAAATGTTGAGGGGGCTATAGAATCAATAGCAGTCTTTAATGTCCTAACAAAATTCTCTGCCTGACCATTAGAACACGGATGTCTGGGAGCAGTAAATAGATGTTTGCACCCTATACCGTTCAACCAGGTAGTGACTGCATCTGCAGCAAAATGTGAGCCATTATCAGTCACCAACACCAAGGGAACACCTTCTCGACTAAACACCTTTCTTAATGCTTGTATTGTGAAATCAGAATTCGGTGAAATTGTGAAAAAAACTTCAGGCCACTTTGAAAAAGAATCAATGACTTCTAGTGCGTAGTATTTACCAAGAAATGGTCCACAATAATCAGCATGAATCCTCTGCCAGGCCTCAGACGATACTGGCCATGGCACCCACTTCGAAGGATGGTTTTTCAACTGATGACATTTCTCACAACTGTTTGCCGTACGACATATATCTGCATTTATCTCTGGCCACCAGCATGTGAGCCTTGCCAAGGACTTCATTTTCTCAACACCTAAATGACCACTATGAAGATCTTCAAGAACAGATTTACGCAATGAAGGAGGAATGACAACACGATCGTTTAAACACAGAATACCATCAGGAGTAGTAGATAACTCATCCCGCTTTGAAAAATAGATAGGAAATCTCCGTTTCAAATTAGCATTCCAACCTTTCCTTATAGCACTGAGTATACATCCAAAATATCTACGAGTTTCTCTAATGAGATCTGAACGTCTCACTGGTAAAGGTTGCACTAACAAACAATCCGAAGTATTAATAGGTTTATCTTGTAATGACTGTCGAGAAATGTAATCAACATGTTGAATCTGTTTGGCACTTCTGTGCTGAACCGTATAGTCATATGCACTCAAAGCAATACTCCATCGCTGAACCATAGCTGCTGAGGAACGTGCTAAGGATTTTCCGGGATGATAAATAAACTTTAAAGCTTCATGATCAGTAACAATAGTGAATTTCTTTCCGAATAAATATTTATGAAGTCTTTTAACAGCCCAAAACACAGCTAATGCTTCTCGCTGAGTCTGTGAATAACCTTGTTCAGTAACAGTAAGTTTGCGTGAAACACAAATAACTGGTCTACCTCCCTGTTCCAAAACTGCACCAATTCCCACAGGTGATGCATCAGTAATAAGCACAGAATGTACATTAGGGGAGTACGTTCGAAGAACAGCATCACTTTGAAGAAACTTCAGCAGACTTCGTAAGCATGACTCTTGTTCCTCACTCCATTTGAATGAATTGGATGTTAAAATATTAAATAAACAATTTACACGACAAGAAAAATTAGGAATAAAACGGGAATAGTATTGAAGAGCACCCACTAGTGAACGTAATTCTGTAAGATTTTTCGGAGACGGTGCATTAGTCAGTGGAGCTAGTCGTTTCATATCTGGTCTAAAACCGTTACCATCAACTAGGTATCCAAGGCATTCAAAACTAGATACACAAAATGAACACTTATTTGGATTCACTGTTATATTCTTCTCAATTAAACGTCGCAATAAAGCAATAAGTCTCTGGTCATGAACCACCTTATTAGAGCCATGAACAATGAGATCATCTTGATAAACTTCAACACCTTCAAGATCACTAACTACTGTATTCATAACTTCTTGAAATATGGCTGGAGAACAACTTAGACCAAATGGAAGGAAATTGTATTTGAACAGACCAAAAGGAGTGTTAATTGTCGTCAAAATAGATGAAGATTCATCTAAAGGAATTTGAAGATAAGCATCTTTTAGGTCAACTTTCGAGAACACTTTAGAACCATGAAGTCGATTTAGAATATCTTCAGCTTCTACCGTCGTGCACGTTTGCTTCAACAAACGGGAGTTCAGAGTTAATCTATAGTCACCGCAAATTCTAGGGGTCTTGCCGTCCGACTTCAGTGGCGTAACGATAGGAGTACCCCATGCTGAAGACTGGATTGGTTCAATTATGCCTTTCACACACAAATCGTTTAATGTCTTATGTACTGCTTCTCGAAGACCATAAGGAATTATTCGTCTTTTAAGAAAGACGGGATCACCCTGTACTTGAAGTTTTATAGGCTTAATTTTCATACCTCCACTGCATTTAGCACACATAGCTATCAAATCTTTAAGTAAAGTATCAGAATTTTCTTTAGAAACTAAGAAGGACAACTCCACCTTAAGCCTTTTCAAATTCTTTAAACCCAATATTGACAGTCCTGTTTCGCTAACTAAAAATTCACAAGGTATGTATGAAGAATTATCATCTCTGATTAGCAATTCACAACATCCTCGTATGGGCAGTCTGTGTCCAGTAATCCCCAGTATTGATACTTCAGTGGGTCGTACAACAACGTTAGGATCTAAAGCTTTCAAGTTCTTGAATGAAATAATGGACTCTATACTGCCTGTGTCCAGAATAAAGTCATGAAATGAACCAAGCGATGTATATAATCGCTTCTGAATATGAGCATTACCTTTCGAAATAGTGGACAAAGACAAATGATCACTAGAAACATCCGAATTATTGAAATTTAAATTACAAGATTTAGTACAGCTCGAAGCAAAATGGACAGTAGCTTTGCATACTGACTGAATGTGTCCTACCTTACCACATTTAAAACATTTAGCATTACGAAATACACATGAATTGCGAGCATGAAACTTTCCACATGATAAACATTTACCAAACTTCATCTCACCTTTGTGATTTGCTTTGTAATTCCTCGTTGAAACACCTTTCATATTTACACGAGAATAGGAATCACTGTTAAATGAACGCAAGTTTGATTGACCCTGAGATTGTAGTTCATCACGGCGACTAAGCAAAGTATTAGAAATATTCATCGACTGGATATCAAGTTCATTGACTGCTTCGTAGTTAATACATGCAGTTCTAGCATCTTGAAAGGAACAGTTTGGCATTCTTAACAGCTCTCTTTCCAAACTCGGTATGTTAATTCCTGCAATTAATCGATCTCTCAATTGCACATGAAGTTGATCACCGAAATTACACTTGGCAGCTTGTTTCTGTAATTCAAGGATGAATTCCCGAACCTTTTGGTCATTTTGACGAACCATCTTATGAAACTTCGCCCTTTCACGGCATTCAAAACTGGTGCATTTTACATGACTTAACAATAGCTCTTTAAGAGTTGCATAAGGCAGTGAGATAGGTTTTTCTGGATATGCCAAAGTTTTTAATAAGCTGTACACTTCTCTCCCAATGAATGTCAGAAAATGTGCCACAATTTTCTCACCTTTAACATCTTTCTTGGTCATGCTCCAAATTTCGAACCTTTCCAAATAATCCTCAATAGCTTCAGGAGTTAAATGAATATCCAACTTTTCCATTGCAGGTCCGCTCGCGACGCCAATATAATATTCTAATTATAGTATGAACTAGGAATTCCAGGACTAACGCAATTGAACTAAGAAGACACAGGCACAAACGAATGTATTGTATTTAGAATTCGAAATCAAGTATTCAACCAGTACCAAGGTATCATTGGTTCATTCAAACACCACACTACCATTGACAACCTGGAAGCACTGGACGGCCATTTCATGTTTTTGCAAGATTCCTCAGCAGTGCCCATCCACGACCCCGCCCCGCGAGATTCAAACCCTGGACCAATCGGTCTCGCTCACGTACGCTTAACATCTAGACTACTGATGCGGCTGGGATGCAATGGTGTTAATGTGTAACTTCAAATAATCCACGAAATTGAACTACAGTTATTCCAGAATTTCCATGGTGATCTAACTTCAATTGACTCATGCCCTCAACCAGTAAAATTGTAATTCTATTTAGTTAACGCATATTTAAGAGCAAGTTAAAAAACAGAGCTGTCTTGAACCCAATAAATATCAAATATTGAGGAGTGATTGAATTATTGGTGAGATGTGTAAATGGATTGTAAGAAGACTTTGTTACAAATTGTGGCCTTGTGCACTATTAATATATGACGTAATGATACCGCCAATTAGAGAAAAGTGAGTTATCGACCGGACCAATGATGAGTAAAACCCGTGCAAGCAGTCTATAGTCTTTATTGGTCCTGCTTCCTGCCTAGCCCTATCTGTTGTGTCCAGAACACCAATCTTAGCGTCCGTGATAAGA